TTGTGTGAATGTCTCTGTATGGTCGGGTCAAACTCATTGTCGCAGAGTATGTCAAAAATCACATGACTTTGTTCTCAAGCTCATGTCGTCCGACCCTTCTCGTCCCGACCGCCTTGTCCAACCTTTTCAGAAACTACTGCGTAACTGGTCAGAATTTCGTAGGTGTTTTTTTATGCACGAAAACACCCAGAAGCTGGTTTTTCAACCAGAGAGCACAATGAATAGTTTTGAGGATTGCAAAGATTTAGTGAAGGTACAGCAATAATAACTCAACACTTGTTGCTTTACAGAGGAGCAGCGAGGACTCCAGTATGGGTGCATCATGGGTAGCCGATCCATCACAGGGACAGAATGACACACAAAGACAGTCTGGAGAGACCAATTAACCAAACATGGACTTTTTTCAACTGTAGGAAAAGGCAGAGTTATGCTGAGAGATATGCAGAAAACCCCCTGGATGATGTTTGAATCCTGGACCTTCCTGCTGCGAGGCAAAAGCAAAACAAAACAAAAAGTCCTATTTTACTAAGTTAACCATTACCTTGCTCATCCCTACATATGTTGGGTATGTAAGGCAACAAATTACGCTGCTATTGAGAGTAGATGGATGTAGTAACTTCAGATCATTTTAACTTCAAATATGAGAGTTAACGGCAGCAACTGTTTCTAAAACTATCCTTATTTTTCTCCTCCACTTTCCTCTCTGGAGCTTTGCAGCTAAATTTGAAAAACACAAAAATAATTATTCTGTCTTTGTCATTATAAAGTCTTAACATCTCCTGTAGCCAACAAATAGCCTCATGTCACAATTTATAGTCTTACTGCAAACCAGGAGAACATATCTTAATAAAAATCAGTTTGTACAATTTACGGTTATGTTGTTTTATCAAACTTTCTCCATTGATTTCAGCTGAAATATGTAGAGATGATAAATAAGTCTTCAGATGCTGCACTGAAAACTGAACCTGATATTAGAGAGTAAAATTATGATTAGTATCAGAAGACCATGGCAGACATTTTTAATAAAAAGATTAAAGCCTTTAAGTTCTTAAAAATGGCCTTCTGAGTTTCCTCCAGCCCCGTTCTCTCCTGGGTGTAAACGTCACTGATGCTGCAGCAGGAAGAGCAATCATCCCAAAACCTTTGACCCCGTGTTATTTAAATCTACAAACCACAGCTCCATAAAACAAAATAACGAGATGCAGTGCCGTTCAAAGCCAACAAACAACACAAATACCGCAATCATCCAAACTTATCTGTTTAGCACCCAAGGAAATATAGTTTCACAGCAATCTGATGATTACCTGCTCCATCATCGCTGATGAAGCCACTCCCACTGTACAGAACTGCTGAGTGCATTTCAGAGACGCTGACAGAAAACAAAACAAAACAAGGAACCCACACACATAATAAATTGAAAATCCCTGGAGGGAATTTGCTTTGCTTCATTTAAAGGGGAGGCGGATAAATTGATATGGAATAACAGTGTAACGCAGAAGAGAAGATAATATTACACAGAGGCTGCATGTGACAACAGCTCTTATTAAGAGGCGCCTGAAAGGGGCCCAGGATTAACAGCACGATACTGGGGGAACTGGGACAGAACCTGATTGAGTTTACATGGACCTACTGCTGGATAATATGGCTGAAAAAACTATCACGGTTTAAGGGTTCCATATCAGTCGATATTGATAATTATTGATTAGTTCTGTGTTTTAAATACCTGAAATACTGATAAATTGTTGGCGCGACTGTTTCTGTCTGAAGCAGTACTACCCATTTCCTCCTTGAACAGCGAGTACACGAGCTAGATTGACAGCACCAAGACCCTCCTCCTGGCTCTGGTTGTTTTTGGTCTGAAATGATTTAATTCTTCAATAGCAGCTCAGAAGGGAGGTTGATTTTTTTCACAGATTATCTGTCAACAGAGCGACAGTTTTAACAAATATGTAAAACAAAACCTAAATATTTTTAATAAAAGTTACATACTGCAGCTATAAATGGCGATGATCACCAACCTCCCCAAGATCTTACAAGAATAAGTGGTTACATAAATAGAAACGGTGGAGCAAATTCTGCTTTCAGGTTTTCATAAAGGGAGATACTAAAGTTTATGATGAGAAAACAGCAACAAAAAAACCAAGGCGAGCAGATTAGAAACATGATTTGTGTTTCTGCAAAGTCTGTTAAACATTTTCAGCGTGCCAGAGGAGCACATCCAACAGGATGGTATGTTTTCACATTAAAATGCCAGCGTGCAAATGGGTCTGATGACACGTTCCTCTGCAGACTGCAGACAATGTGTCAGCAGAGGAAAGACTAACAGCTTGTGCAGGGAGAAAAAAAAGCTTGTTGCTCTTTAGCACTTCAGCTACATCCATGCATTTCAGTCACGTGGTTCATTATTTAGGCTAGAGAACAAAAAACACAATGAGCAAAGGACATTTTGGAGTGATGCTGTTGTAAACTACTTCCACAGATTTGGATAAGCACATTTCCCATCATGCATTTTCAGGGTAAAGCACTACTACTTCCATCATAAACTAGTGGTGATGTTCAGTATTAGTTTTTGCCTTTCACCTTTTTTTCCCCATTATGAGAGCATAAGCAAAGTCACCGTGTGTTTTCATAAACACATTCATCACACCTTTGCCCCCAGAAGCAAATATTACCAGAAAAATAAATGGAAAGCACTGAAAACGACCTTCAGCAGCAGTGCTGTCACTGCTGTGCTTGGTGAAATATATTGATTACATTTATGTTTCTTTATGTTTGTGTCGCTCAAACAAAATCCATTAATCAGTTCAAGGTGTTTAGGTATGAGCCTCCAAAACAAAGGGGGCTCCAGAGATGAAGGTTGGCCTCAGATAAAGGAGGTGTCTCCGTCAGACGCAGAAAGACAAAAGAAGGATTTCCACTTGAGTAACGAGTGACACGATCTGTTGTCTGGTTTGTATCGGCTGCCCTCAGCCAGGCAAACACAAACACAGAGCTTTAAATTCAGTGACACAGACGCCGACTTGTCGAAGAAAAATGAAGCACAGTTGCCTGATTGCTTTCCCAGCTCTCTGCACCACCTGTCAGAGTCACGTTAAGGCTGGTTAAAGGGCCAATCTCCAGAAAGCAGATCAATGCCTTTTCAGGTAGAAAGAAGGTGGAGAATCAGTGGGAGAAAAGGGATTGACGGCCTTGCTAGCAGCAGTAAAAATCTCCTCCTAGGATACCAGGAGTCCCCTGATCAATGCCCTGGGATAAATGGGAGAGAAAGAAAAATGGTGGAGACAAGAGCCTCATTAGGACAGATGGGCTGAAGTATCCTGCACCGACTGAACAAAGGCAAAGTGGAAAGTGCCTTAAAATGAGCAAAAGGCAGACAGAAAATGACGCCGGGAGCAGAGGGTGGGAACACTGGCCATAAAAATAATTATAGAGCAGAAACAAACAAAAAAAGTCTGCAAACAAGCGTGTCAGACTTCATTTCCTGGACAGCAGAGAGGCAGCTGACAGGCGGACCAGACACCTTCAAGGTCTCCTGGCGTCTATTACAGACTTCAGTTTAAGCTGTTTTTTCAGACGAATCATTTTCTCACATTATTCTAAAAGATGGAGTCATTTTTCTGCCTCCAGCTTTTTTGCTTATATTTCAGACTTAAGATAAAGAACAATGACATCAGCCAAGTTTAGTAAACAAGAGCTTTGTTGATCAGGACCCTAAAAGATTTCCGTTAAAATAAAACTTTGAAACAACTTTACATTTCATGCTCATTTCACAACAGAGATGCAGCTTGGATCCACTTTCAAAACCGTCCACATGTCTGTCAGACGCCAGAGTGCGCGATGTGAAAAATGAGCCCAGGCGTGTCCACCTCCAGTCCTACACAGCAGCCATCTTGCATCATTTAGGCTGTGTTCACACAGCAGGTCCGAGTTTTAGCTGATTAATTTTTCTCCCATGGTCGATCGTAAGACTAAATAACCCCGACTGCAATGAGACGTCTGTGTGAACGGTTTGCGTCCCCAAAGAACGTCGACGTCTCACAGCAGCGCTCTGTCTATTTAAGCGATGATGGATGGAGGCGTTAATGGTTTGATTTTAACGTTTGTTCAGGAGCCGACAGTATCGTCACAAGATCATAACAAGACAAAGAAGGCTAATAAAAAGAAAGGACAACTCATAGAAATGGTCTCTGATGGAGCATTATTGACTGCAACACTCGGAGTGGTCCGATTGTGATGGGATTCGTTTCACTGACTCAGATTTCTTCATTAGTTCAGAATCATAATTTTCATCTGAATTTTACTACATTTCGTTTCTTCTGGTGCAGAAACACGACGCATGTCTCATCAGTGGCAAACAGCTGGATAAAATATGACCGTTCAGACTTTGAAAACAATCAGATAAATAAATGACTTCCTTTCACATATTAAAGTGGCGCAAATAAAAAAATGTTGGGGAGTGGATAGACCGCGGGAAAAAAAGTCTGATCTATATCGCATTTGAGCAAAAGAAAAAAAATTGTATTTGGGTGGCATTTGCCTCCTGTGTGAACGCACAGCTCCAACAAATCAGATTCAACTGGTTGAACTCCCTCATTAGTGTTCAGTCGTTCTGCAGAGGTCTGGAAATGAGCCACTCCTTTAAATCCTGAGTCGAGCAGGTGAGCAGCCAACTGGAAGCAAATATATCTGAATAAAACTCCGTAGGCGTGGGATTTTTTTTTTACAATTTCTGTTCTCCACGTTAATGACTGAAACAACAAAGCCTGAGAGTCAGACAATAAATAAGCATAAGAGTTCATGTTTATTGATTGGTGTATATACTGTGAGTTACAGCAGTCTGGTGATAAAGAACCATGAGGACATGGAGAATAAATGGTGCCTTGCTTTCTGCACCGTGTTGCTCTAACTACCAATGAAGCATTTATCAGTTCTGGCATCAGGAACTTTTGCCCCTGGAGCAAATCACGACAAACTGAAATAGAAAAGACAAGCAGCCTTACTCTCATCGGGGTTCGGCGAGGCAAGGATGGCGCTGTGCTTCCTCTTCACCTCTTCCACTTTCTCTGCCAGAGTCTCGATAAAACCCCGGATCTCCTCTACCTGACAGCAGAGAGACAGAGAAGCAGTTTAGGCATTACGTTGAGACAGGAAGCCGCAGTGATCAGTCTGATGGATGTAGACGAACACTGTGGACGAAGGTCTCATGTTAGAGTCCAAACCAGAGTGACTCTGGTTTATAAACACAGAAAAAAAAAGGTGTAACCTTACAACATGATTTCCCTGGATTGAAAATGTTCTCAGCAATCCTGGTAAAACTTTTCACACAGAAGAGAACAATCATACAAAAAAAAAAAGAGATAATTTCCAGTCAGAAGTTTGAAACCATGTAATGAAATTACAATAATAAAATTGGGTGATAAATGGCACTCGGTGGCATTAATGCCCTCATGGCTGCTGGGCATAAACTGTTCTTCATAAACTGTTTGAAAGTTTGGGTCAGATGAGTGAAGGACACAATTTACTATCCAGCAATGATCTCAGACAGACACATATAAAAATAAACTGCAGAACGTAAATACATTTTACAATTTAGTCGATAAATATTGGAAGAAAAAAAAACCTTCAACAATATTAAGATGGCCGGTAAGACAGAAGGACCATGTGTGGTTCTTTCCAGTAACTCAACTCGTTGCATTTTGGCGAGTAAAATTTAAAATCCAATACTCACATATAATATATTTTCCTAGTTTAAGGAACATTAGAAATACTCTTTGCATTACATATATCAATGAATCTTACATAAAAGCTAAAAAATGTATAATCCTCTGTATGATTTGCTTCAAATCATTTTTACTTTGGACTCTGCGTCATCTGCACCAGAGATCCAGGTCTGACATTTTACCCAGTCGCCTCCCACCTGCTGCCTCATCACCAGCTGCGCTGCTCCGGGCCGCCGCTTGCAGCTGGAGGAGCAGCAGGTCACATCTGCCGGCGACTTCATGAATCTGAACTTTCATCTCAGACTGTCAAGCTCCTCATCACTTCCTCCTCCTTTACACCTGCTCCGCCGACAGGCCAGACTCCAGATTTATTCATCTCCATGATGCAGTTGTCATTTCTCGCTGAAAACCGTCGCCTGTCTCCTTCACTTTCGCTCTGCCACATTCCTGAGCCCGACCTCCCTCAGCCGGGGTCGTTCTTCTCAAATCATCTCTGTAATTAACTGCTGATCGAATCTATTTTTTTTAATAACGGCAGTGTTGGCTTTAAAATGTCACAAGAGAGAGACCAGACACTGAGGCTTGAATGTGCGTTAGGCAGAAACCAAAGAAATATCGAAACGAATGACGAGAAAAAGAAAGTAGAATGTGAAGCCATTTAGAAGAAGTTTGCTAGTGAGTCATGGTGCACCTTCTAGCATGAAAAAAATAAATTTATTTACGTGGGAGAAAAAAAAAACAATTTCAGAGAAAATATAATTTAAGCGCAATAATGCATGAGTGCTCACAGACACACACACACACACACACACAAGCTAGCACCGCTAATGCTACATCTAATTTTTTACAGGCGGAGAACATTTGCAAATCTTTCAGGGTTAAAAACACAAAACAAAATCTGTTCTGATTTTGTGCCTCATATTCATTAGTGCAATCACAATAACCCAAAAGAAGCTGCTGCAACGCTGTTGGTGAATTACTGACACTCATGGTAATTTCTATGTCTAAATTGTATTGTTAATTTATGTGCAAGTTATTGTTTTATCAATTAAGCTTTTTTTTTTTTTTTTGCTTTCCCAATGCATTAAAAAATAATTTCCCACAAATGTTCTTATTACTCATTCTGTTTTCAGCAAACAGAAATAACTTTGGGAAACCCGACTCATGTGAAACCTAAGACAGAGGGAAACATGTTGTGTCCTTCCAGTCAGTGAATGTAATTTATCACATCCCCCCCACACACACACACACACACACTCACAGTTGACATTTAATCATGTAAGCTGTCCCCGTTTCAGGTCAGTGAAAGTTTTCAAAATATTTCAAGTTTTTATTTAGAATTCTTACAACTTTCTTCAATTTGGATGCATTTTACTAACATTTTTAAAGATTGACATGACCCGTTTAGTGTCGTTAAATGTTTGCTGGGATTTTGCTCTATTCCTCCAGACAGAACCAGTGCAACCGAGTCAGTGGAGTCGGCTCACGCACTCCTTCCTACCTTTTCACCTCTTCCAACAAATTTTCTTAACAACTAACATCAGGATTTTGTGACTCCAAAACACTAACTTTGTTTTTCTTGAATCACTTACCAGCTAATCTGGTGTTATGGTTATTGTCCCACTGTACAACATTGTTGCTGTATATCTTCTTATTTTACGTATTTAAACTTGTGGTTTCAGCATTTTACCATCCTGGCCTAAAACCAAGACATGTGAACATATGTGTCTTTCTATGCACTGTGTATGTAAATATCTGGTTGCACGTGAATATACGACTCCAGATAGAGGAATAAAAAATATTTTTTATTGAGTTTGCTGATTATAGTAATGTGTTTCGGTAAGACATAATTTGTTTTAGTTATTCTTTGAACATTTATCCCAAATCACCAAGTAAAATTATTAAATTTTTCAAACATAAATTTACAGAAAGCAAATGATCAAAGAAACTATTATTTGAAACTTAGATACGTTAAAGAAAACAAGTCAATATCTTAAAAAAAGAAGAATTTTCATCACCGCTTTTATGCTTTTCAATCTTTCACAATGTTGCTGGGTTCATCACCTAATCAGTAAATCATTACAGGCCAAATGACGCCTTCTTGCATTTGAACAACAATGGAAGGAAATGGATATTATCTGAGTAGAAATGCTGATTTTAAAATGAAAATTACGGCCATCTCTTTTCCAAAAGCTTTCTATAATAACATCTCTGATTTGATCTAAGTTTCTTTCTTCATAAAAAATCTTTTCTTTTAATCTTGTACAATGAAACAAATTAATGATTTGCCAGCTTGAGGTCACAGCCTCTTGCTTTTACTCTCTTCATCGTTGCATCATCACATGAAAGGAGCCTTTAAACACAAAAAGAAATAACTGATGCTTACATGCTCCTTCGTGTGGCAACATGCGCCTCGAAGGAATGATATTCATCTCAGGTGCTGTTGTGAAACTTTGTTTTGCTTTGCACAATTTTATTGAAATCATGCAACCCACGTTAACTCGTATTCATTCTTAGCAGCCTGTAAAGTCCTGAAAAGCTGAATTTAATTCAACATCTTTAAATATAGACTGCAAACTATTCCTGTAAAAACTTTATGAGGAATTGTACATATTATTGTGTTTATAAGTTAATGATAAAAGTTTTACAGGAATCAAGTAATAACTTTTATATAAATGTCGAATAAACAAAATCCTGGACCACATGCCAATGATTTCTACTCATAATCAAATATTCAAATATTCTTCTTTTTATATAATATGTATATAAATAAAGCTTGACAAGTGGTGCCAATAGTAGTGGTTGGGATGTAAAATTAGAGACAAACTCAAACTGTCCATTCTGCTTCCTAAAGCTGCACAAGTCATTCATTCAGGGTTGATTTCTGTTGCAGTAACGTGTTCATAGGATGATTTTAGGATTGTGAGAAACACAATCCACTTTTCATTCTGTTAGCCTGCTGAGAAATCAAGCTGACAACAGTCATGTCTCCCTGAAAAGATCAAATCCTCATCGAATCTTCCACAAAATCTTCTGAAAGAGATCAAATAGAGCGTTATTATCCCAAGGCAGTAAAAAGCAAATTGCATCGATGTGACTGTGTGCGTGTGTGCGCATGCAGACGTCATGTTGCTGAAAGCCAGACCTCACACACCTTTACTTTTACACAAATGGCAAAAGCCCAGGGGAGAAATCAATAATGCCTCTCTGAGGGACAGTTTGTTGTGTGAATGGAGGACAAAGGGCTGCAGCTGTTCCTCCACTGTCTGCTGTCCCTCCTGATCTGAACCTGAGTTAATACATCCTGTCAGGGTGAGGGACTCTTTGCTACTGATTTCACTTTTCTCCCATCTGCTCTTATTACCAATTCTTCATCTTTGGCTCATCTGAGCTCTCTCAGTTCACCTGTAGCTCGTCCCAAACTGCTCTCTTCCTGCGCCGTCAGTCAAGTTATGATTTTACTCTTCCTCCCCAGAAGCAACACAATAAAACTATGAACAGATGAAAACGTTAGAGCTTCTATATCGAGACGTGAGGCTTTTTAAGGCTGCAGGCAAAAAGGAGAGAAACAACAAAAGGGAAATATATTTATGGTATAAGTGAGGATAATCAGAAAGTTAAATTCTATGAAATGAAGCACATCCACCACAGACATCCAAATAGCCGCCAGTTATTTATGATGTGGTGTCTCTTTCATTTACAGATCATCCCGTCATTTTGGTTTTTTGGGACTTCTCATGGGAGATGAGGCAATTAATGTCGGCATCAACAGTCTGGACGGAGAAACAAAGCTTCACAAAAACAACTCAGGCGTCTGCAGTTCAGATATTTCCCTCAGTCTCATTTGAGTTTATTATAAATCATCTGGAACATTTGAAAACAATCTGTCCGGTTTTGGACTCTGATCCAAAACCGGACAGCTAGATAAAATGATTGTATCTTTCATTTTTAGATAAAGTGAAAGAAATTCAGCAAAAACCTATTTTTAGATTTCTTAAAAAGTCATTTATGAATATTTATGGATGTTTCTGCATTTTGGCGTTTTGTTTTAGTAAATTTTTGTTGCAAGAAACGTATAAAAATAAAAGAAAACCTTTTTTAAAATTATTTCATTAATTGCCATATAGAAAAAGAGTGAAGACTAGACAAGAACTTTTACGTACAACGGTGGCTTGGGCAGCATTTCACTTTCATATCACTGGACAAGCAGTGTTTTCAATGATTAGCTTAGTCTGAAAACAAATCTAATTTGTTAGAGCTTATGTAAGTGGATTTTTCCCAAAGTGATCAAGGCATGTTTTAATATCTATAATGAAAATCTGGAAGCTCATTTTTAGAGATGAGTGATAAGTGATGTTTCCTACTAATATAGCTCCTTTGCATATCTACAGAGGTTTTCATTGATGCACCTCAAATTCCTAGATAATTTATCCTCCATTGAAATCTGTTTGTTGTCCTGTTTTCCTTTGAAAACTCGAACATCAAAGCCCTGCTGGTTGGGTCTCTTTCATAAATCACGAATGCGGCGAAACGGCGTTCAGCCTCAGCTGACCCTCTTCTACAGACGGTCAGCATTTTAGCACATCAAAGGTGAAGCAGCCATGTCCATAAACTGATATACACGAGTTGTTTTGAAACTGAAAGGACCTGACGGATGAAATATGGGAAAAACAAAAACCGGCCATGAAAGAACAACAAGCCGAATGTCTTAGTAAGTCGCAACAATCCCACTTTTTACATTTGTGTCTCTGTGGGAGCTCAGGCCCATTAAGGAGGCAATACAGAACCCACTCCACTCAGACTGAAAGATGTCATAAAGTGAAGCCGCCACGGCTCTGTGTGACTGATGACTCACAGAGGGGCACCGTCTCTCCAGAGGCACCAGAAATGGATCCATCTGTCAGAAAACCAGGATGGCATTCAGACTGTGAGGCAGAGATTCAAAAGTGAGTAATTCTAACATTATATTATTTAAGAATCTACTGCTTTCGTTTTTATACCACAGTGTAAATAAGTAAGCAGTGTAACCTCTCCTGTTTTAAGCTCCATCTTGTCGCTTGTTGTAACCGCAGGATGAGTCAAGTGAAAATCAATCAGGATGTGTGATTGATAGCAGCGGAGACGCCTGTGCATTGTGGAGTGTGCTGCTGCGCTTGTTGCACTCTGGATAACAATTTACTATTTCCTCAACAGGTTAAACTATCTACTCCTGCATTTAACCTATGATAAGCAGATTAACTTTTTATTGTGCATTATTGTTTGGTTTCCTCTGTGCTGTTTGTACTGCAGGCCTCTTAAATGCACCACAAAATCCTGAGCTATTTTGTGAATTCTGGGTCTGGCTTGGGCCATAATTCTATTGTGAGATCAGCATTTGTGCAAACAGAACCTACATGTAGAAGCATACATCGCAAAAGTATGTCGCAAAAGTATGTCTGGTAAAACAAAACGAAGTGATGACCTAGAAGAACACAAGCAAACTGAAGTAAATAATGATTCGTGCCACACCCAAAACATCAGGAGAGAAAACAGCCTGCATTACATGGATAACAAACCAAAACGAGTGGAACTGACACCAGAAGAGGGATGATGCCCTGGCAGATGTGGTGTTACAAATAACCTGATCATCAATTCACGATGGCAAGTTATGAAAGCAGGACAGAGGGAAAAGGATGGGAAAGATTAGAAAACAAACCTGTTCAAAGAATTCCTCCATGAAGCCTTTGTCCATCCCCACAGCGACTTCATCCTCTTCTTCTGTTGTCTCCTTGCCCTGCACACACACACACACACACGCACACAAATACTGCTATTATCAAAGAGAGACTAAATAAAACTGAATTTATAAACTGCACTAATGTGGATAACAGCAGAAAAGTTGAGATCAGACCACTTCTATTGCATAACTCGAGGTTAAATAAAACGGCATCAACCGTCTCGCTCCTTCTCCACCCATCAGCTGATTAGAGTCAAGCAGCACTTCAGCAATTAGAACCACAGATAGAGTGATTAACAACTTATTATTTAATTACGACCTGGAGGCAAACTGAATGTTGGTGGGGCAGGGCTGTTCTTCTTTTACACCTCCATAAACGCATGACTGTAGAAAGTTGATATTTACATACAATTTAAAAAAAGGAATGCAATTTTTTTTCTCTTCTTTGTGACATTAAATTAGACTAAAGTGTTTTAGGTCAGTATTATTGCCCAAAGCTTTTCCACAAGTCAGGATAATGAGAAAAGGTTTTTTTAGACTCAAAAGTCAACATATATTTAATCAGTACTTGAGTTCTGAGGAACAGTTTGTAACAATATTTCTGCAGAAATTAAGACTTTTATCTAGAAGTTTCTAATTTCCAAACTGCAATAAAGCTTTTTGGAGAATTGGCTTCTTCTTCTCTGACTGGCCTTTCAGCCCATGTTGAAATACTGAGATGATACCAACCTCAGCACTTTCTCTCCTAACTGCAGAAACTAATTTAACGATTTGAAATTCAGCTTGGAGTATATTTTATTGTTCAGCGTGTGGGTCAAAATCACAGCTAATTTCTGCTGAAACTTGCAATCAACTGAGACTGAAGCAACTGCCTTCCAGTGTAAAAGTCTAGAAGTTCAGTAAAATGATAAATGTTTGGTAGTAAGAATGCCTTGACTCAAAAATTAAAATAAGAGAAAATTGAGCCCAAATTATTGCAGAATATCCTAGATGTCATTCACCAAACCCAGAAAGCCTGGAATCTCCTGCCTGACAGCCAAAACATGGCCTCCTTAGCAGTAGCACATGGTCGACATCAGACACGTCTTTTTCATGAATCATGTAAATTCAGAAAGAAAACCTGAAAATAAGGGAGAACATTCGAATTTCCCATCATGTATCCAGTGATTCATCATGAAATAAATGCTTATTCCTAATCACACATCAGCCATTATGCTGCATTAGCAGGGATCTCATGTGGTTTCATCTCATTCATTTAGCCACTGTCAAACTAATCCACATGCCCATTAAGAGCTCCATTTGCTTATCAACACTGGAACGTCAGGCTGCACTTTTTGTCTGTTTTTCCGCAAGGTGTTCCTTCATTTTATTCAGGAATTTAACAGAAGCCAACTCTAACCCACCTACGTCTGCAGTTTCTTTCCAAATATTCACTTCAGTAAAAAAGAGAATCAGGGAAATCTTGTTTGTCAAACTCTGCTAAAGTGAGAGGAGGGATCCAGTAAGAGCTTCAGCTGTAGCTGTTCCAGAAACCTTTTCCTGAGAGTACTCTCTGGTCTCTTTCAAGCATTAAGTCCAATCAATATTTAAAACGCACAGATGTACATTATTATTAGATTATTATTATTATTATTATGAGCTGCAAGAGTGTATGCTGGCTGCTCCATTCACTCAGACAAAGGCAGGAGAGTGAAAGCATTACATTCACTGGGAGACATAAAGCTTACAATCAAATGAGGAAGATAAACAAATATCTGATGGGAAGCGTTATCCAGTCTATGTGACATTAATCTACAGCTGTTTCTGTCTGAAATTGCCATCAACATTTTCTCAACATTTCTGACAAAATTGAAAAATATGCCTTATAAATTTATTTATTTTTAATCAGTTGTAATGAACAAGAAAATATCCTTGAATTGTATCTTTGTCAAGTTCTTTGCTATGCGAAAAACAGTGAATGAAAATCATTTTGTGCTTTTAATTAGCATCTTCCTCTGTGAGAACAGCTGACAGAGATGACCAGAAGGCAAAAAGAAATGAGGCACAATGAGGAGATGAGTTAAAAACACAGACAAGAGAAAAAAAAAATGCTGTGAACCAGGTTTAACGGGAGATGCTGAGATAGTTGGCACAAATCTCAGTGAGAGGAACACAGAGCCACTGTTATCACTCTATTATTTGGGCCCACTCAAGATATAATTAACCCAACAGGAACTGTTTTCAAAAAAATTTGTGAAAACAGTTTATATTCACGGCAGAAATCCTCCTTAAATGACCTCGGGATACAAATATCCGAAGGAGGTAATATTCAACGCTGACATACATCGAGGAGTAGGACCTGCTGCTTTTTCAGTTCAGCTGCGGTTCTGTCCAAAGCGGGGCGAACGCTGTAAAGGCTGCAGCAGCAGGATGCAGAGGAGGAAAACAAGCAGGCACTCAGAATAGGCTGAGAGAGTGCTGTCCAGCCTCCACAGAGGGATGCTGTCTCCCCTGCAGAGAGATAAGGGTTCTGGTCTGTTTTCTTTTTTTTACTGTTCGGTCAACCAACGGCAGCAAAGTCGCCACCCCTGGAGTCTCCACCTCCCACCCAGATCTGGAACTCCCGCTGAGCCAAAAAGAGTCTGCGGAGGCCCTCTGCGCCGCACTCTCCACTCAGCCCACAGACTTTACTGTCCACACACAACAGATGCTCTGAGCCAGACACAAAAACATACATCTACACATCACAGAGGACACACTTACAAAATGCAGCAGATGGCATGAATGCACGCACACACACACACACACGCACGTGCGCATGCAAAAAGAAAACAAGGTCTATAAACGAGCTGGTCCTCGTGGACCGTAACCCGTAAAATGCACTACGCCTCTGGGCTCATGCTTGGGCACAACGTCCCAGCGGCAGGTGATGCTGTCGCCCGATTGCGCCGTTCGTTAGATTGGAGAGTTTTCCATCAGCAGGAAAGTCTTTCCATGGAGACAGAAGTGCCCACACATCCAGAGCAGGCGGAAAGACGGAAAAGTAGTTTATTCCATTCAATCAGCCAAGTTGCTTTGTGTTGTGCAGCAGCAAAACCGGTTCAAAGTGCTTTTATATCATAAAAACACAGAGACAAAAAGTCATAAAACCAACATAAGAGTCACCAATTGAGAAACCAGCAACAATTTAGTCAAGTGCCGTAATGAAAATCATCTACACAAATCCAATATGTTGCTCAATGCTCCATTTATTATGGTTCACAATCAACTCTAAACAGGTGAGGTTTTAGTTTTATTTAAAAGAATTCAGTGTTTCAGCTGTTTTGCAGTTTTCTAGAGGTTTTGCTCCAGATTTGTGGTGCATAGAAGCTGAATGCTGCTTCTCCATTTTCTGGTTCTGAATGCTCAGAACCAGAAGACCTGAGAGGTCTGAAAGGTTGATACAACAACAGCAGATCTTTAATGTATTTTGGTGCCGAGTCGACCAGTGATTTATAAACTAACAGAAATATTTTGAAGTCTGAGCTACAGGGAGTCAGTGAAAGGACTTCAGGACTGGGAGAGTGGAAGACAAAGCAGACCAGGGTTAGCAAGATATATAAGAAGTACAAATTTCTATCAGAAGGCACAAATGAGGGAAAAATACAGCAACACAACAATTACTGAAAGCTGTGAAAGTGTCACACAAGGTGCAACAAGAACCCAGAGAGGGAGCTGTGAATAAAGCAGATCTCTGCTTACTAACAGTAATCTCAGAGTTGCATGTGATAACAGATGAGACACAGCTCCTACAGAGGTGAAAAGACATACAACTGCAGTTCTTCGCTGTTCTTTTTGTATTTCCAGTTTTAAAAGTTGACCTGGCGTCTGTGTATGAGAGCCGGTTGAAGAAGCATCCTGCAGTCGGACTCATAAATAAACCGTCAGCTGCACAGGGAGGCGATGTGAAAATAACCAAATTTAAAATCACAAGGCAGGGAGAGAGATTTCTTCTGTGCTTACACAGGCATGCACAGAAATCCTCTGGTTATAGATGTGCATGTCTATTAGAAAGACAGGAAATACGGAAATGTTATGTGTTGTTTGTGCAAATATTATAAGGTTGTGCAAATAATATAAGGTCCAAATATTTCAATCTTCTTGATAACAGTGACATGCATTTTAAACTGAACCATCTGTATCTATAGATGATCACCATCACATAACTGCTATAGATGCTAAAAAAACTAATTTCATTTGCCGCTTTACTCTTCTGTTGTTTTTGTTTTTTTGTTGTTGTCATGATTCTGAATATTAAAAATATATGAGTTCATTTTTGCAAAAGAAACAGTGATCTACCATTGTTAATAACTGGTTGTGACATCTTACGTGAAAATCAAGAAAGATAACTTGTAAAGCCTGGACTTTGACTGGGACATCCAAAACATTATCTTGTTTTGGTTTTTTTCAGCTCCTTAAAAGCGCTTCAGATCACTGACCCTGCATGAGCTTAAGGTCGGGGACCGTTGGCTGCATGACCTCATGAGATTATGGTTCTGATACTATACCACCACAATGTTTAACTGTTGGTATTATTATTATTATAATTTTAAATGCTATTGCAGTTTCACTGTGGTTTCAAGTCTCGAGTTTCACCTCAGTTCACAGTCAAGACTGATTTCTCTAACGACTGAACATTTTTTCATCACATCCTCAGCGTCTAAACAAATGAGACAAAGAGTAGTAAATAATTTAAAGTGTTGAACAATGACTTAAATACAAAATGTTTTTATTTTGATATACTCTGCTGGACCTTGTTATTTAACCATTAAAAGCGAGAAAACATGACAGTCAGTTTTGTTTATTTTGATTCGTAAACAAGCTAAAGGGGAAGTATTATGTGTTTTTCAACCATATTTACAGTAAATCAAGTAACTATGTTAACTTCAGAAAATTTTCTATGTATGAAAAATTAAAATATGAAAAGAATTTCACACCTTCAAATTAGATTTCTAGTTTTAAGAAACCTGTTCTTTCTGAAACTCTGCTTTCAGAACATTGTGACATTTCTCCTCTATTAACCTTTTAACGCTGAGAGG